GTAAATAATTGTAGGAAAAACTTTGTACAATACGAAAATGTTCCATCCATATACAAGACGTTCATTTTACACAAAGTACGAATATTTGTCTCACATGTAAATACAATATTATTTTCTCTGCTATTTATTAAAAGAAAATGTTCACCTTTACTGGTTTTAAATGTATTAGAATATAAGTCAACTGCATCATGCACTTCTTGTATATTTGTAGGTAATGGACCTGGTAGTATTTTGCGACGACTGTTGTATATAGTTTTTCTTATGTAGGACACATCAATTAATAATATAATAATAATAATGTTTATTCAAAAAGAAATAGTGTTTTACAAGAACAAGATAATGATAATACAATCAGATACAAATAAATATATATAATTTAATTAACAAATTTTTATCGAATAAACATGGACCACCGTACGACTCGCTTATGACCTACACAGGTTGCGCGCGAGTTTTCTTGTTTAATTCCATTATTTAAATTCAATTTTTTTTTTTTTTTTTTTTTTTTTTTCTTTTTTTTTTCTTTTTTAGATATTATTGTACTTTTTAGTTCTAATTAATTTATGTCTCTTTCAATTAGAGAATGAATAATGGACCTTTCAACATTTAAAATAAATGATTTAATAAATGATTTTAGAAGATCTATTGAATTGATTGATATTAAATATATTTTATACACGTTCGGCAAAAAATTGTAGATTACGGTACTTAAAAAATTTAATGATCTCTGTCCTATGGTCTTGTTTCTTAGAGCAATTTGGGTATTCTCTTCAAGTCTATATCGGGTATTATAATTATGTTTAATTGTTTGAATTATGGATTTATTTTTATAAATATATATAACGACATTGAAAAAGTATGCTTGTCTAACATCCAATAGTGATGTTTCTTTAAATAGAGAATTAGATGGGTAAGTATTATTTTTATTATAAATTATTTTTAAGAATTTCTTTTGTATTACTTTTAATTTTTTCAGATGAGTTTTTGAAGCAGAACCCCATGATAAGATAGCATAGTTGATTCTGGATTCAACAAGTGAATGATACATTATTTTAAGATATGCCGGTTTTAGAATAGTTTTCATGTATTTTAACTTATATAATAAGGGTCTTAAATTATTTGTGATGTGAATTGTAGTTAGTGACTCTGGTAAATTAGTAGCAAGTACTTTACGGATAATTTTAGAAGGTTTTTCCGAAATATCATCAACTGCTTTTCGCTTACACGAATTAGAAATAATTTTCCTGTTTAATTTCGGTTCATTTGCTTCATGGCTATGAATTAGGTTGCCTCTGGATACTAAAAGTTCAGGACCAATTGTAAATACAGTGGCATTACAAGCATTTGTTTTTCTTTGGGAGCATCTCCAAGAAACTTCTCCACTTTTCATTTCTCTATCTTTGGCAAACGTAAAATTCTCCAAAAGGAGTACATCTTTCCCGCGTGTGCTTTTAATCAATGTAGCTGACATTATAGAAATAATTATTGTTTATAAACACTCGAATTACAATCATCAACGTATAAAAACTGACTGAAATATAAACAGTAAACACCCAAAGTAAGTACCTATTAGAATTATTAATAATCAGGTAGGTACCTATTTGTGGGCGGATGTAATTTGCGGGTTTAGGTACCTGAATGCTACTGTGGGCAAAATACCAGTAAGATTAACGCACCCCTTTACTTACACAGGTAGAAAACAGAGATTTGTGGGCAAAAAGGACCCGCCGGACGTCAGGTCGTCGACTTATATAGCTTGCCTCGACCTTCTAGAACCTTCTCGAACAATCCGAACTTTTCTTTGACAAGGAATGGCAGTTCGAGACATTTCTGGATTATTCTATCTTTATTTACTCGTATCTTTGCTTATGACGACCGCAGCACGCTACAGGGTGCTGCGTAACAATATTAAATTGAAGTCTAGCGCTTTTAGCGTTTAAGCCATCACCGAGACACTGCAAAGATTAATCCAGTCAGAATTAATACTTTTTTCGATATAAATTATGATTTTTTCATAGATTTGTAATTTTTTTTTAAATAGTTACAAAAATGGTGTTACATATATGTAGATTATTAAGAAGGATCCCTTCTGGTTTAAGTGTAGAATATATATAAAAGTTTCAACTTTAATACTGACTTATTATTGCTGGTATTAAATGCCTACGAACAGTTTTAGACCTAGAAACAAGGCATATAGGAATATTGTCCATTTATAGACCTCATGATGTCAACTGATTTCATAAACTCTCTTAGTCCATATTTACAAAACACCCACTTAGAAGAAACGAAAATAATAGTAGAAGATATAAATATTGATATCCTAACTTCTAGTGAAGAATCTAACGGTTATTTAAATATTCTATAGCAATTTGGTTTTATCTCTACGATAAATAAATTTAAAAGAATCAAAAAAACTCTAAAACTTGCCTAGATCATTTTATAAAAACTACCCATTTAGAATCCAAACAACTAAAACCAATAGTGTTGCATTCAAATATCACGGATCACAATCCGATAATTCTTCAAATTAAACAATTTAAAAAATAATACAGAACAAAAAAAACCCTGGAAATATGGCATAATTCAATCAATGAAAGAAAGAGATCGGCCATATAGAAGCTACAGAAAAAATAATACTGAAGAATCGCATACAAAATATAAAACATAGAAATAAAATTAATAATTTAATTAATCAAACAAAGCAAGATTATTACAAAAATATAATATTAAACAATCAAAAAAATATGGCAAACTATAAATCAGTAGGTATACAAATAAAAATTGTAACAGCTCATCCACATGTATTGCGCAGAAGTCATTGGTAGGTAACACTGAAAAGGATAAAAACAAAATTAGCGAAATTTTTAATAAATATTAAGCTGGTAAAAATTTGGCGAAAAATATTTTTGCAAAAAAGCCAGTCTTTTACGGACTATGAACTAACTTATAATGAAATAGTATATTACATTACGAGTGTGGAAAGTGACATTTTTCACACGAGTGGGAAATATTGTCGCACGAGGCGTAAGCCGAGTGCGACTATCACACGAGTGTGGAAAATCACTTTTCACACAAGTGATGTACAATATTTTTCCTACGACCACAAAATAATTTCATCAAAAAATGTAAAACCAGATTATTATAATAATTAAAATGTATTTAAAAAAATAATCAACAATAATCGTATTTATTAAATTTTCATAATTTCTAAACAAATAAAAAAAAATAAAAAAAAAAATAAAAAAAAAATTCTGGCACAGCCAGGATTCGATCGCGGTCGTTGGACGGTCTCAAATTGCAAAGTTGATGCTCTAACCAACTGAGCTAACAGGCCTTACGGTAATTGATTGATCTAATCGCTTATGTGTTTAACCAGAATAAAAAGCAAATATATCTTAGTTATTTTAAAATTATTTTAAAAATAATTGTTAAAGATAAATATCTAGGATCTAATTTACAATAATTTAACAATCATATCGATTTTAGTATTAATATGGACATTACATAGATCAAAATAGAAATTATGTGTTTGACATTTTCTGACAGCTACTGCGGAAAGTAGCATATTCTCACTTGGGTGGAAAGTAAATTCTTATTCATACGCGTGTGATATAGGGCACTTTCCATAGGTCTATATAGTGTGATATGTGTCACTTTCCTAAGTGGTCGTAGGAAAAAACAATTTTCTTAAATCCAGTAACCCAGGAAGAAATTAAGTATGTCATATTGTCGTTAAAAGCAAATACATCACCAGGAATAGACGAAATAACGGAATAACACTAATTTGAAATAACTAGGTTTTTTTTTTAATAAATGCTCCAAATAAAGAAACATTTACGATTATTATAATCTAGGAATGAAAGGAATGAAAAGCTTCATAAATGAAGATTCTACTCACTATAGTGTACTGTAGAGTCTAATTATTTAGTTACACTACCGTTAACGTATAACACTTAACCGCACAATACTCTGTTTTAATCTAAAACATCACTGAACTAACTCAAAAGGCCTGGTTTTCTCGAGTCTTCCTATTAGATTGGCATTGTTGAGTAGCTGGATAATCTCAAGGTTTTCATGTTGGAGCAGTCGTTGTTGTATTGTATTTGCAACAGTCTCCACTTTAAGGTCCCTATATACTTTGTTCTGGAAACGTTGAATAACTTGGATGTTATTTTTACTAGCACAGCCCCAAAGCTGGCAAATTGCTTCATTTCCGCCAATTCCTTTAAATGCACTAATCTGAAACAAAATATAGGTAATTAAAAAGGATTTATACAAATTATTTGATTAACAATAGTTTTATTAATATTGTTTTAAATTAACTATAATAAAACAATACTCATGTCTAAAAAAAAAACATGAAGATCCACCTAAGCAAATATTATTTAGGTAGTTCTCACCTTAATTTCTAAAGACATTATGCTTCCCATATAACAAGTTCACAACGCACGAATATCAGAAACCAACAACTCAAATCTATAATTATTTAGAATATGGGCTTGTTTCTAGTTGGTGGCTGGACAGGGACGTGATGAAATAAAATAACTACATATCCCATCTTCTTCTTACAAATCAGAAATTCTTCATTAATTGTTTAGTAACCTTTTGTGTAACATGTATATCATGTTTCAGAAACATTTTCAGTGAAATATGTAGCTAAAATATTTCAGAAACTTGTGCTTGAAATATTATATATTTGAAACGTTAGACATATTTCTGAAACACTTCTGAAATAATGTGTGCTGTATGGGCAGATACCCTCAGATGAACGTTGGCTGCCTAACCCAATTAAACCCAAATAAATTGTTGAAATATCTCATTTTTCAGATATGTGGCGAATTAAAAAAACAACATAATATTCCTATTCAAAATTATCAAGATTTTAATCAAGCTAAATAATTAAAATTTAAAAATACACTTCAACTTTGATACAAAAGTACTTGAATTGATTTATCTAAATTTCAATTAATTTTTAAAAATTATTTTAGATTTTTCTTACAGTAGGTAAACGTGCCAAATATGAAACTTCTGTGCGTGATAGTTTTAATTGCATCAATCGCTTATACGGTAAGTACTTTATCGTTTATAGACTTTAAATATATAATCGAATACACTATATAGCAGAGCTGGGACGAATCCTTGAAAAATGGATTCGAATCACGAATCCGAATCACGAGATGTGATTCGAATCACGGATCCAATGTTCGAATCCTTTAAAAAAAAAAAAAAAGATTCGAATCCAGTGATTCGAATCCTTTTTTTCGGATCACGGATCCGAATCACTGTCAGTGTTATACTGTGGTATTAATTATACTCATTGCAATGCCAATGAACTGGAGTGGGGTAGAATGCTTGTCAATAGGCTTGAGATGCGACTCTATGGGCAAAGACAGGTTATTTTTCATCTCACTCGGGAGTATTTATAGCAACCATTTTCTATTTCACTTTGTTATTGTCTGATCCACCAGCTTGTGGATTGAACAATAACAATGTGAAACAGAAAATGGTTATTATAAATACTCCCGAGTGAGATGAGAAATAAAAATGGCTGTGCTCATAGAGTCGCATCCTGTTCTGTTGATACAATATGCACATTGGCTTCCCAGACAGCACACCAAATCCTTTGGATATCTACTGAACATCCCAATATCCACTGAATGTCCAGTCCATGGTGGATTTATAGACATGCAAAATGTCCATAAATAATAGTAATTATATAGCAAATTATTAAAAAATTACGCCATTGTGGCTAATAGTACCGTTCAGATATTTAAAATTAATTTTTTTAAGGTGTATTCAATATCTCATGGACATCCACTAAATAATCAAAGTCTAAGCGCGACGCAAACCATCGTGGATATCCACTAGATGTAATTTTTGATTTTGCTTCCTAAGTATAGATGGCGATACCACTTCCGTATCTACTCATGCTTAACCCGCCGTAATTGAGTTCGATCGACATTTTTTTCACAAACAAACTCCATTAGAGACTGGAGTCGAGAATTTGCATTTATTACTGAAGAGTCCTAATAAGGATGACTTTCTCCTTAGTGCCTTTAGTGGGCAAAATCAAAGGCAGATTGTTGGAAATATTTTTTATCTCTATTTTCTTTCGACGTTATTCAATAATCATTGGTTACTTATGAACCTCTACTAAAGATATCATAAACGAATATATTATATCATTATATCCATTCTATACTTTCTATCAATTACAATTCATTACTTAATGTCAAGTTGACTATAACCTATAACCTATAAAATATTTTGCTGAATATCTGAATTCTATATCCTGGGATATAGATGGATATTTGGTTGGATATCCTCAAAATATATTCTGTGGATATCTCTGGGATTTCTCGTATTGTCTGGAGATACTCATAAGATATTTTGCTGAATATCCATAGGATATCTTCTATATTCTGGATATAGACGGACATTTGGATATCCATATTAGATCCATAGAATATTTCTGATATCCTGTGGATATATTGGATATCCACAAAAGATATTCTGAGGATATCTCTGGGATTTGGTGTGTTGTCTGGGTTTCTACCTCACTCCAGTTCATTGTGTAATGCTGCCAATTGTCTTATATTTGTTAAGGAACTTTGTTATACAATTCTGTAAAATGAGTTTTGACCCGTAAATAAATAAATAAATTAATTAATAAATAAAAACATTTAAAACGTGAAGCTGAAAAACGAAGCTGGCTGTCACATTTAGCATATAGGCGATTACCTAAGTATAAGTATAAGTATAAAAATTGTTTAAACTTTACTTAAGTTTCCTTGTAAATATAAAAAACTCTAGTTGATAGCCGTTATTTATCGATTTTTCACAAGAATCACTAATTTTTAATTAAATTTTATATTAATAACTAAAACTCATTTTAAATAATAAAAAAAAAATAGTCAACTTGACATTAAGTAATGAATTGTAATTGATAGAAAGTATAGAATGGATATAATGATATAATATATTCGTTCAATAGACTAATATCGCTCACATATTTATTTTGTATATCGTGCAAAAATAAATAATATACCTACATGTGGATGTGGATGCAGAATTTTTTTTCACTTACCTGTATTGAGGATCTATATCAGATTATTTGCTAATTCTGTAATCGTGCACAACGCCAAACACACCGGTTTTCTATTCAGTCTCAGTCTGTTTTAGTTTTTAGTTTACAATTCGCGACAAGTCAAAGCTTGAGTCGGCCGTTCGCGCCGGCGTAGTTTGGTCTCTAAAAGGATCCGAGACTGATATTAGCTTTGTTTTGGTTCATTTTCATAACTGTTCTAGAACTCTTTCAGAACCTTTGGAGCACGCGCAGTAGATAGTCGCTGTTTTGGTTTCGCCAGAACTGTTCCGAACCTTTAAGTTCTGTGTTTTGGTTTTTTTTGGGAATGGTTCCATAACCATTCTCGAACAGTAACGTCGGTTCTGGCCTAAAGCGAGAAATGTTTTAGAATTGATATGTTTGCGCTTGCGCTTTTTTGCAAGTAATTTTGTTTTTGAGATCCTGGCCACGTTTTGTGTTGGAATTTTTACAAGGAATTTTCGAATGACTAATGAGAATGGAGCAGTTGATTAATTGATGTTGAGTCATAAGATTTTTTACGAATTTATTATTTAATTTATCTACGTTTTACTATATTATGTGGCCTCTTTCTTACCTAGACACTGACCCTGTGTTATTTCTTCTTTTTTATTTATAATTTACTCTTTGGCGTTAAACTGTTCTGGCAGTGTTTTGGTTTCGAATACAATGGAATGGTTACAGAACTGTTCAGAATTAAGGACCATTGCGCAATAGTTCTGCGCATGGTTCTGGAACAATTCTAGAACGTGAACCAAAACAAACCTATAGATGATTCGAATACGAATCCTTTAGGATTTTCTCTGCGAATCCGGATCACGGATCCTTTTTTTCCAAAGTATTCGAATCCCGCTCTCGGATCCTCAAAAAGGATTCGAATCCAGGATTCGAATCCTATGTGATTCGAATCCTCCCAGCTCTGCTATATAGAATAAGACAAACAAAAAATTAAATATATAGTTAATCACAAAAAAATTGTTTTGGACATTCATTTAGCTCATAATTCGTGAAGATATAAAGAAATTTTAATAAGGAGTAGGGTTGCCACATTTCCGGACGTGAAAAGCGTGGCAACCGTGACGATAGAGCATTTTTATATAATCAGGTCTATTTTTTGTGAACATTTAAAAAAAAAAGTCCCCAGCTTATTTTTCGTAAAACGAGTAGAGCATTTTTATTTATTATGAACATTTCTAAAAAAAAATCAGGTCAAAAAAAAGGTCCTCAGCTAATTTTTCGTGAAAACGCGGATCTTTTTCCCGGATATTTCTCTATTTTTGTATAAATCCGATTTCTCTGCGGCTTTAAAAAGCGTGGAATTTGCATAAAAAGCGTACAGGCAAGTCAAAAAGCGTGACAATCACGCCGAAAGCGGGACGTCTGGCAGCCCTACTAAGGAAAGGTATTCGGAAATGAGATTTATGAGAGAATCCAAAATTTAAGTCATTATGTCATTATCCTTTATTTTCAGTAAACACTCTTTTGAGTCCTTGAAAAAATTCACAGTCAACCAATCTTACTAAAATTTTTGTTTATCTCAGAGAAAAAGTAGAGCAACTTCAGGGCTAGTGCTTTATAACGGGTTGTTTTTCTACTTTTTGGTATATTTTTGTTATTAATGATTAAAAAAGGAAATTCTTTAGATAAAAGTCATTATTTATAATTTATATAAATTTATAAGATGTCTTTAAAATGGACCATTTTGCAGATATTTGAAGAAAAGTATGAAGTTCATTTTTTTTTATCTCGATCTAACTTTAGTGGAAAGTTAAGTGTTGGGACTACTGAACCAACTGATCTAAGAAAATATGGCAGAACAGATTTTAGAAAATCTTTTAAGTCTTAATGTAATGCCAAACATTCTTTTTAGATAGATGCAATCTCATCAAACCATCTTGGAATTATTGAAGGCACTACGATCTTACCACATTGGGCACCTTACTTAGTGGCGCTGGTCATCAACGGATCTATAAATGCAAGATGTGGTGGTTCACTTATAACTGAAAATTACGTTTTAACAGCTGCTCAATGTCTTAAATAGTAAGCCAATTTAATTAAACATCGCAATTTAAAGAAATTAATAAATTATAATGAAGTTATTGAAGATAAATCCAGACTTAAAGGTTATATCTATCAGAGTAGAGTGAGATTTGTTGGCGTATAACATTCCTTTTGAAATATACAATAGACAATCTCAAATTAAAGCGTAACATAAAACTAATTAAGTCCGTCCATGGGCTATCCTTGCAAGTGTCTATATACGTTTGTTGTGCCGAAAGAAAGAAAGAATATTTATCTTTTGGTAATAATCAAGGAGGCACTTTTGATGGTCACATATTTGCAGTGAGAGTCACTATGGTTATAGTTTCACAAAAACTTGAAGAGTTTGATTGAATGCACTAACATAGTAAAAACAGAGTCGTTATAGTGGAGAGAAGCTAGTGACGTGCCAGTTCTTCTTTAAAAACTCAGTAACAGCCAATTTTTTACTTTCTGAAAACAACAGAAACAGAAAATTATTATCAATACTCTACTTTGATTTTCTATCTCTACTATTTTCCTTTTGATATAATTCAATGTCTTAGGTATTAGCCAAAGGAGTAATTGTTTACCGTTTCCTTAATTTTCAATTTCTTATTTTTAGTTCTCAAAAAGTCCAGGTCATACTTGGTGCCGACGTTATCACCGATGCATCTGAAAACACTCGCGTTTCTTTTGACGTTACAAAAGATTCCTATATAATTCATGAAAAATTCGATGAGGGCACATTAGAGAACGATATTGCTCTCATACAACTTCCAAGTTTGGCTATTACTCAGAACGATTACATAAAAACGATTCCCGTGGTTAAGGAAGGAGAGATGGATTTAATAGGTGAGAAAAATTGAGTGTATATTTGGACTATGCTTATTTATAAAGAACCAAGCGGTAAATTGAAATTTTGAGATATTAAAGGTTAAAGATGATAATGAGTATAAAGAACTCCAGGTTTTTGAACTAGGTATTATCAGATAGTTTATATGATATTATAGTTTTTTATGCTAAAAACATGAGTTTGAAGGTATTTTTGGCGGATTGTTTCTTTTGAATAAACAGCCAACCATAATCTTTAGATTTTTGGATAGATCCAAGTACCAAAAAGCTGAAGAAGCTTTGAGTTCTATTAAAAAAGAAAGTATGTTGGTATGTTTAAAGAAATGATTAATTTAAATAAATGACTCCACTAGATCTCTGGTTTAACCATTTAAACCATTTATTCAAATTAGGAATTTTTCCCTACTGTGTCGTTTGGTTCAATAGCCAAAAAATGGCACTAGAGCAGAGCTAGTAATTGGACCTTAAATTAAAACTTTCTCTATCGCTTGGTGCCTTCAACTCAATTTTGCCAATTTGTCGCTTGGTCATTTTTATATACGCACATTCCAATTTAATCTGGGTTTATTACTAAATTAATATTACAGGTCAAGAGGTCGTGACATTAGGATGGGGTACAGTCACAGGCATCGAGCCGTTCGTCTACTCGGATGTCCCGATGGCCGTATGGATAAACGTCACGAAGAACCAAGGTAGCGAATGTAGCGACCTATACGGTGATAAAATCAAAGACACCAATATCTGTTGTACACATACTAACAGCTGGGATGGTCCCAGTTTGAATCTATGCAATGGCGATTTTGGAGGTCCTTTGGTCATCAACTACGAAAAGCTCGTTGGTATCGCCAGTTTCAGTTCCATACCGTGCACCATGGCGTGGCCCAATGTTTTTACTGACTTGTCCAAGTATACCAGTTGGCTTCTTGACAATTCTGATATAAAGTTTGATTGAAAGATTATTAATACCTGAATACATTTTTGTTTTTATTATTTTGTATTTTTTGAATGATGATTAGCCTTCGGTATCTAAATGGTACCTACATAATGACCAATTGATTTTTTAGTGGTATAATTAGTAAGTCATTAAAGAACTTAGGATGGACAAACCTTTATTTTTTGCAAACCCTCGTAAAGTATTTTGAAAAAAAAAAAATATGCACCATTCTGTATTAAATCTATCAAAAATTGCTGCTTTTTGTTTTAATAAATATCTACGTAGTAGTTTTTAAAATGGAGCATTTTCCACCTTTTTTCTTAAACGTTGCTGAAGAGTGCTGCCATATTGTTGCACAAATTTAAAGCTGCCAATATTCTCGAGCCACATAACATCGCGAGGTATCCCCAGTGACCTCGCTATATGTCAAAATTATTACATTTAAAAATTTCTGATAATAATAATAATAATAATAATAATAATAATAATAATAATAATAATAATAATAATAATAATAATAATAATAATAATAATAATAATAATAATAATAATAATAATAATAATAATAATAATAATAATAATAATAATAATAATAATAATAATAATAATAATAATAATAATAATAATAATAATAATAATAATAATAATAATAATAATAATAATAATAATAATAATAATAATAATAATAATAATAATAATAATAATAATAATAATAATAATAATAATAATAATAATAATAATAATAATAATAATAATAATAATAATAATAATAATAATAATGGGGGGTGGGTTGGCTCAGTGGTTAGAGTCATGACTTTGAGATCGGAAGGTCTCAGGTTCGAATCCCACCGTTGGCCGGGATTTTTTCATTTAATTTAATTATTTAAAATTAATTCTGATACCTTGGTAGGATTCCCCACTCGACCATTCACTGTTGGGTTCTAATTAACAGTGCTGTTCCTAAAGTGGCGCTGGGAAACAGTAACAAAGCCTACACAGAACACGAGGCTAATGGCCGTAGTAGTCGACGCCGATGACACCAAATTAAAAAAAAAAAAAAAAAAAAAAAAAAAAAAAAATAATAATAATAATAATAATAATAATAATAATAATAATAATAAAATGTATAATAACATATAATTTAGGGGGTGGGTGGGTCAGTGGTCTCTGCCTGCGGATCCAAGGGTCGCAGGTTCGAATCCCACCATTGCCCGGGATTTTTTCATTTAATTTAATTATTTAAAATTAATTCTGATGCCTTGGTAAGATTCCCCACTCGACCATTCACTGTTAGGTTCTAATTAACAGTGCCTTTCCTAAAGTGGCGCTCGGAAACAGTAACAAAATCTACACTGAACTCGAGGCGAAATAACCTTAGCAATCGAAGCCGATGACACACAAAAAAAACATAATTATCAAAAACATATTACAATTTAATTTACACATTTTTATCCTTCATCATACAAAATACATTTATCTATCGAATAAATCTTATCAGTTACTCAGGAAAGTTTTGTGAGCTCATCCAGCTGACATTCAAACCAATTTGTTATCATATTTTATTTCAAAGCTTAGCTTGTACTTTTAATTTTTTAATTTTGTCTAGCGTGTTTTGATTAAAGACGTATGTTATTTTAATCAATATAATTGCTTTTAAAACACTGTATTACTTTCAAAATACTTATTTGGCGCAGTCAGTAAGATTCGTGAGGTCGCGGAAAAACTGAAAAATCGATGCTTACGAAAAAACGGTTTATTTTTGGTACTTTCAACGTGGTGATCGTGAATTTAGCGAACCAACCAAAGATAACATGAGGAAATGTAAGTACAAACAAATGTCACTTGCGGGGGTAAAGGGGTATAAGTCGAAAATATTCAAAATTGAGTTAAATCAAATTTAAATTTAATATTAAAACTTTAAACTCAGTTTACCATAATTGTTGATTTAGGACATATACACCTTTACCCCTCAAGTGCCAAATATCGTGTGGTCCTGAATAAGACATTATTCTAAGGGACACAGGCGGGTATAATATATTATTGACTATTGTAGTGATCTCACTATATAGATTAAGTAAATATTTACGAAATGTCAATCTGACTGTGACTATGAAAAATTGATTTCGTTTTAGGTCTAAACAAAAACAATGTCATCGGCATCAACTGCTAAGGCTATTAGCCTTGTGTTCTGTGTAGGCTTTGTTACTGTTTCCCAGCGCCACTTTAGGAACAGCACTGTTAATTAGAACCCAACAATGAATGGTCGAGTGGGGAATCTTACCAAGGCATCAGAATTAATAAAACAATGTTGTTTGACTATTGTAACGATCTCGTTGTAGATCAAGTATCCATATATCCAGTTATCTCACCTCATAGGTTCAAGAAGCCCAGATTATTCATATTTGCGAATCTGTCAATCAAACTAGTTCCTCCATATAGCTTGAGGAATATTGTCACTAGGTCATTTGTACAAAATTCCCATAGTGGAAACACCTTCAAGCTTTTACTTGCAATAATGCAGTTTCTTGGGTACCCAGACGTTAAGTGAATCATGTCATAGTTCCCTGATATATGCAACCCTATAATTTGCCCATTGTATACAAGAGATGCTTGGATTAGAGCAAGATCAATGTCATGTTTTATTATACATCGTTGTAAGACCGCTATTGCTGCCCAACAGTGTTGTATATTTGATTGTATTATTACCTTCATATCTTTTTTGAAGGTACCATGTAGTTCTTGATTTAGGGTCCTCTTGCTTTTCCGGCACAGAAGCCAGGTCAGACAGCGGTGAGTCCCCTAAAAGAGTCCTCTCCTCGTCTTCACCTAGCTCATGTGCTGTGGATTCCGAGCCCCCTATTTCCATTCGAGCCTGTCACTGGTTCTGTAGCCCCACTTTCTTGTGGTTCTGTATTCAAGGGCTGATTATCATCTGGCATGTCTTCTTCCTCAGTGGAAGTTTCAGGAGCAGTTCCGTCTTTTATCAAGATATTGAAGAAATTCTATTCAGTGTTTCTTGCGTATCCTTTATCTTCTTCCAAGAGACAGAATCCATGTTTATGAAAAATTGCTGTCTCCTACACTCCAACTTCCTTTCAGTAACCCTCTAGTTCTCCGTTTGTAGCCCCTTCATTATTCGGTTGAGTTTCACTGCTGATCCCGGTATCCATGTCATAGTAAACTTGGCTTTGATTACTTCCCCAGAATATATGATTTTAAGCTTAGCACCTGCCCAAGGTACCATAGATTTAATGGTTTACTCAACCCAATCTCTCGTTATTTGATCAACGCAAGAAAGGTTAAAGCTCCCGTTTCTAATTCTAGCTTTGGAGAACCTAGTTGAAAGTCCTCCTTTGTCTAGTTCTTTCAGCCTTTGAAGTAGTGCAGTCCTTATTAGGTCCTCCTGCTATATTGTTATTAAACTATTGGGACGATGCTACCGGCTCGGTCCTATCTGTCCCCACATTAGATGTGGTACCAGTTGATCCCGCAACTCTCGCATTCTTAGTTCTTTTAGTTTTAATTTTTTCCGGAGTGCTAGTATCGGACCGATTTCGATTTTGATCCCCGGTTCACTCCGGCTCGCAAAACAGGCTGTTTTCTTTTTTTTTTTTTTTTTTTTGGTTTGCCATTCCCAGAGATGGTGTGAAATAAGAGAAGGGACAAAGAGAAGGATTTGACGACGGTACAAAACAATTTTATCAATGCTTATGTGTAATCCGTTGTATGAATATAATAAAGAACGTACAAAATGAAAGCTTATGCAAGCCCTGTTGCCACATCTACTACAAAATACTTGATATCCAACAATATCTAGGTTTTGGAATTTATTGAAAATTATTACATCTAATTTAGTGAAATTACATCCAATTTAGTTAAATTGTTATAACTAATGACTCAACATTTTTTGGGTTCAGTTTCAATAAAATAGATTCAATTATTTTACTTTTCTAAGATATGTAAACACGTTTGTAAACAAAACGAGAATAATGAAATATGCATGACAATAGCGGATATTATACCCTCCTGTGTCCCTTAGAAAATGTCTTTGTTTATAGTTACATCTCCTGTTATCTCTGGTTATCCCAGAGGCACTAGGACTCGCCTTACGTCTCATCTCCGTAGAGACATAATTGGATGCTTTCCCCCGTTCCCCTGGTACAGAATTCACTGGTATAGAGGTCCGCCCTGTTCCGGAAGAACTGGATCCTGCCACAATCCCCACACATATTGATTCGTGAATGCGCCGCCCCGTCCCAATGTCAATTTGACTTTGTGGCTATGAAAAATGGACTTCGCTATAGGTCCAAACAAAAACAATGTTATTTGACTATTGTAATGATCTCGCCATAGATCTAGTAAATACTTGCTAAATGTCAACCTGACTATGAAAAATTGATACCGCTATAGGCAGAGATTGCTATAGGTTCAAAAAAAAACCACAGTTATTTGACTATTCTACTGACATCGCCGTAGTGCATGTAAATACTTACTTCACATCACACTTCGCATGTATTAAAAAAATAGAAAATGTTATAGTTCTAATCTTACCTTGTTGGTATTGAAATTTGATCTCACTAAAGGTAAAGAAGGAAATCTAATGTTTGAAAATTACTCGTTTTATATTATGAACTAAAAATATTCATATCCTAAAAGAACAATATCATAAAGCAACAGTCAAAATCATGAGCAGGTGGTGGAAATTATTAGGTACTTAACAAAATTGGAATGGATGATAACATATTTTTGGCCATAGGGCTAGGCAAAAGAAGAGAAATTTAGTTAGGTAAGTAAAATTTATTAAAAATAACTTTGCATTAAGGATTACAAAAAAAAAACAAAAGAGGTTATGACTGTGTGCAATGAGAAATGATGTATTTTGTGTATTAAAAAAACTTGCACGAAATGGCTTATATTGTATTAAATTACTAATAGGTAGAACACCTTTTTCCATTGTTTTATCTTACGGTTCTTTGAGCACGCCTCTGTTTAATTGTCTCTTTTAGCGAAAGTTTGAGGAAGAACAAACCATCGTCATCATAAAATTAAGAAAATCATGGAAGCATTCAAATACAATTTAAATAACCATGTTTCAGGCAAATTATGCATTTCTGCGGCTAGTTTTTAACTTGAAATTTCTATAAGAGATCTTTCATCAGATGTAGCGATTCCTAATACCAAAGAAAATATTATAATCATTAATCATGTGTAATTAAAGTCATTAAGGATTAAATAAAACCAGTGGGACTTGTAATTTGCTGATTATTTCATTGTAAAAAGTGTGTAACGTAAGGTAGACATTTTTTTAAAGTGCGCAGTGATGTGATTTAAATATGTGGAATATCAAAGTGAGTTTTTTGTATAAACCTTTCGTCGATACTTTGTAATGATAGTAAACATCAAACTATACTATAATTAATACTTCTTTCATAAAACCAAAAGTAATAGTAATGAGGAGAAACTTTTAATTTTCCTTTCATACCAAAACTAAGTTATTCGACAAGATAAAATATCAAAAAAATATGATGAAGAATTATTTTAACATTTATTTCATTCATTTTTATAATTGAACCACTGTTTTTTTTTGTTAATATGATTAAATCAAAATAAAATTAATTTATTGATATAGATATACAATAAATAATAATTATAATTATGTAAGTTTACCAACAAAAAACAAATATTGTGCAACTACATTCAGATAATGATTGTAAAAAAATAACGAAATTTATTTCATATTTTTCTAAGGGGTGGTTTGAATTAACCCCTTGTTTTGGTAGAATTTTACCAACATTTTAAACACATTTTCAACAAATTTTCTTAAAATTTAACCTCAAAACTTTAACCTTAAAGATTTAACCTAAAAACTTTAACCCTAAAACTTTAACCTTAAAACTTTAACCTTAAAACTTTAAACTAGCCATATGATTTAAGTGGTCCCATCGTAATTGGTATAAAGGTCAAGTAGTCTAATATATTTAAAATTAATGACATTCGAAGAAAGGCCATTTCACATAAGAAAAACGAGGAGCCCAAATAAAATTTGCATCAAAATTTCATCAAATTTCAATCAAATCATACCACAGTGGCTAAATTATTTTTAAACTTTTTTCGCAACTCACGAATATTTTAAAATTTGTATAAAAAATTCTAAAAAAATTTGTTAACTTAAGCCTAAAAATTGAAATTAAAAAGTAGGAATACAAAATTCATGCGACAACATTCAGGAGGATATTGCTCGTATGAAATTAAGATGGTTTTTCCCATAACAAAATTTCCTCAGCCCACCCCTTCCGAGATATCACCCTTAAAAGGTGGTGACTAAAATTGAGTTTTTATAATTTTTTTTTTTAAATTTCAGTAGAGCTAGAAACTTGAAATTCTGTAATTTTCGTGCACTCGCAAAGTACTAACCACGGGTATTTTTTCAATATTCCCGTTACATTATAGGGGGGTGAAATTAGCAACCCTTACTTTATTAATTTCACCCCCCTATAATGTAACAGGAATACTGAAAAAATACCCGTGGTTAGTCATTTGCGAGTGCACGAAAATTACAAAAATTTCAAGTTTCTAGCTTTACTGAAATTAAAAAAAAAAAAATAACTCAATTTTAGTCACCACCTTTTAAGGGTGATATCTCGGAAAGGAGTGGGCTGAGGAAATTTTGTTATAGGAAAGACCCATCTTAATTTCATACGAACAATCACCTCCTGAATTTTGTCGCACGAATTTAGAAACACTCTGTATGAATAATAAATATTTGGAGTAATAAATGGATATAATTATGGTACTACTTTCAAATGGTGGTACAATAAGACTTGAAAGCTGCCTATTTATTAATTTATAACTTAGATATTAGCTGACAAGAAATATATTTGACATCCAGAATAATCTTATGATGATAAAAGTTGAACAGAATCGAGTTCTCTCCCAAAATTCAAAATATTACCTGGTGCCAAAAAGGCCATGTCCGAATGGTCTCCTGGGTTACCTCGCAAAAAATTATATACGAAATGAAAAAAATAAAAAAATACAGAACTAATTTACCTCACCTGTGTGGCCTAGAGTCATCACGGGTTGCTTCGCAAAAAATATACATAAAAAATCTGATGTGTCCAACACATGACTTTCCTATCTAGTTATTACGTAAAAACAAAAAAAATCAGAATTTTGCACATTTTGTCAAATTTCTCGAATACGGACCATTTCAGGAAATTTTGACATAAAACAAAAATTATAGAAAATAATATTAGAAGTAACTGTTAATTGAACAATTTTCTTCTCCAAACATAAATAACAGATATATTCCATAAAATATAAAAACGGTCTCCCATAAAGTACCCCCCCAGATGTTCCGACTTTGTCCAAAATCTAATCATTGCACGTCAGGCCGAAATAAACCTTAAGTTTAAAATTTAATGTTTTTTTCTATATCCGTTTTTGAGTTTTCTTCAAAATTCGAAATTTACACATTTTCTCAAATATCTCGAATACGGTCCATTTTAGAGAAATTATGTATAGAATAAAAATTATAGAGAATTATATTACAAACAACTTTTATTTGAACAATTTTTATAAAAAATTATTTTTTTTACATTTTGTCAAATTTCTCGAATACGGACCATTTTAGGAAAATTTTGCATATAACAAAAATTATAGATAATTATATTAGAAGTAACTTTTATTTGAAGAATTTTCTTCTCCAAACGTAAATAACAGATATATTCCATAAAATATAAAAATGACCACCTATAAAGTACCCCCCCAGATGTTCCGACTCTGCCCAAAATCTAATCAGCTCATTGGACGCTGAAACAAAGCTTAAGTTTAAAATTTGGTGTTTTTATGTGTATCGGTTCATGAGTTATGCGTTATACAGACACACACACACACACACACACACACACACACACACACACACACACACACACACACACACACACACACACACACACACACACACACACACACACACACACACACACACACACACACACACACACACACAGACACACACACAGACACACACACAGACATCATCGCGAAAATAGTCAAAACGGATTCAGGGGACCTCAAAACGTAAAAATCCGTCGAAAACTCGAGGTCGAAAAAAATCATGATTCCTATACTTTCCTTATATCTGTATACAGATAGGAAAGTAAAAATTAAAAAAACCTAAAAAATTTACTTAAAATGTCACAAAAAATCTGCCTGTCATCAGGTAGGTACGGGAGACAACTTGACACCTTTTAGAAGACAAATGAAACCACAAAAAATAACCGTAAAAGTTGCCATAGAAACATGAACCCTTAGTTTTTTCCAAATTAATCTAAATGTAACTTCAAAGATTTTCTATTTTATTTATTTTTGTAATATTATTTATTTATGTAAGAATGTAGGCTTGTTTAATTATATTTCTAAGATTTATTTATTAAAAATATCGGATAAACCAAATGAAAATATAAATATAATTCCGTTTAGGTGATTTTTAAAGTTTTGTCCATATTTCTCGTACATCGAGCGCCCGACGCTTTTTTCACTGCGTGTTAAAAAAAATTATTTTTAACTTTTTAGTTTGATATGCTCAAAAAGCTTGTTTTTTATTTTTTTTTAAACTATATTTATTAAAGGTGGTGACGTCCTGGGACTGCAGCAACTTGCAAGGCTGTGCTGCTGGTCAAAACCATTTAATGTTGTTAATATGGAGGTATCCGACTTTAAAGCTTTTAAATCTTTGTACACTTCCAGTGGAGTAGCGAGCTTAACTCGCGCCCGGGGCACAATACCTTTTTAGCGCCCCCTCCCCCTATTCAAAGACCATATATGTAAAATATACTCGCAAATTAAAAAAAAAATAAGGTAAAATATATAAAGTCATAGGATCAAGCTAGGCTTTAAATTTGAGACAAAAAATATAGTTGAGAAAACAAGAACAGATTTATGTGTAGAATTAGTTCAAAAGATACTTATTATTTATTTTATATATTTATAAAGAAATATTTTAAAAACACACAGTTTTAAAACAATGAAGAAGTAAATATTTATTATCTCTAAGGAGATACATATATTTAATAATAATATGATTATAATGCATTAATAAAACTAATTACTATGTATAAATTTTATAATTAGTCGAGAATTAATGAAGCAAATTTCAAAATTTTTTGCACGGTTAATTAGAGAATAAAACCCCCTTTCAAATAAGCTATCACTCACCACCCCATGCTATTTAAATTTTTCCAAAGCGTTGCTCTCCTCCAGTAAGGGATGAAACTAAGGGTAAACTATTCATACAAAAATGTACATTGTAGAAATCAAAAATCGACGTGTCTCGGCGATTTTCCTAACCAGACTCCAGTAACGAGTTAGATAGGGGGGCAAGATTTATGATGCTCACTGTATAAAATTAAAAACCCTACGATACGCATGTAATTTTTAAAATAAAAGAAACTTGTAACTGTAGTAAATCTAAGTAATAATTATTCGTTTCAGATGTCCTACACGTTTTTCTTTTCCATATTTACCAATCAAGTGGTATGCGAAATAATAAATCTAGAAGATGGTAACTCAAAATCCGAATCTGAAGAAGTATATCAAAATAAAAACATAGACAGAGCTATAATAGTAAGGCCTCTTCCTATACCACTACCACCACCATATTTTAAACCTCAACCACCGATAATCGTGACGATAGGAGTACCAAATGGTATATCAGATGGTAGACCAAATGTACAGTTTAACCCATATAACACTGATTTCTCACATAATCCTAGATTTGGACCTGGAATAAACCCAGGACCTAGATTGATTCCAGGTTTAGGTACTGGGTATAACCAAGGAATAAGTACAGTACAAAATCCAACCTTCGAATTTAATCAAGCAGGACATTTTATAAATTTGGTGGACTTTATGAAGGAAGCAACTATTGGTTTGGGATCCTCATTACAACCAGTACAATATTTTAGACCTCAAAACGACTATGTTAATCCTACGTTTAATTACAACCATGAAAACATAGGTGAGAAGATTTTTATTAATGTTATTATTTTTATGAGAATATTTTTTGGTAAAAGGGCTGTTAACATGGGCGTCGTTACACAATTCTATAGGGAGGGGCAAAATTTTGAAAAAATTTAGAATGTTTATTGCCCGCCCCCAAACGATACCCATGACTGTTAAGTAACTGACAATTGATTAGAGTAAATTGATATTTTACTTGGAATGTACAAATTGAATCCCCATAAGCATCCCTAAAGACATCCCCATAATATAACGAATTAAAAAATACTTTTGATAATTATATTTAAAAACAATTCAAAATTTCAGATCAGCCAAGTGAATCATCCCACGTAGAAATCTTAAAATCTCTGGGTTATACCTTCCCTTCTGAAACAATCTTCAATCACCCTGTATCATTTGCTAAAGAATACCTGCTAGATGAAGCTTCCTCAAATTCCGTCAAAAACATAAAACAAACTGTTAAAAAACCAAAATTACCTGACTTACTAACTGGTGAAGAACAAACAAATCCTAACTACGAAAATGATGAAATTTTAACAGAAGTTGAATCCAAACCTGACAAAACTTTAAATGAAATGGAGACTATACGTACTAATTTTCCTTCCCAATATTATTCCTCCAATACAAAAGCTATTACTTTTGAAAATGACACCATCAATAAACCGAAAAACATTTACGAAGTCATAACTGCAGAAAAAATCACACCGAAAGAAATAGACATGACTAAAGAGGGATTGAAACTATTTAAAACTACAACCAAAATTAGCAATGAAGGGGTGATGAAAGATGATGAGACTAAAAAATCAATAGAGACTGATCAAATTGAGGAGTCACTAGTTGACGAAGGCACTCAAGAAAATTTCGATGTAGACGAAAAAGGAAATATGACGATATTAGACGAGGATTCAGATTTGAGCGTTTCGGAATTGGAAAAATCAGATGATAAGGTAAAATTGGATTATTGAAATATTTAAATTTGTAAGAGGATCTTTTTTTTATTTATTATACGAGTATTTGTTCATTTGTGGTTTGTTTTAAATTTTTAAAATTTCATACCCAGATAACATTCTTAGCATATACTTTTTATATATGTTTAGTATACGTAGTATAAGTATATGTTTAGTATACAGTGCGTCCATAAAGTAACGCATAAATTCATTATTAGCTAAATAAACAATAATATTAGAAAGGGTCGATTTCTGATTTAAATTTACTATTTCTTCAAATTTTAATCTAATATACAGGGTGAACCTTCCTTTTTCATTTGACGTTAAAAACTGTCAAGAAACATTAAAGTACAATTCTGTATTGTTAACGCTTTAGAGAAGGTACGTTTACTTGAAAACTATCCAATCATTTGTAACATTTTTACAAAATGCCTTTAACCGAAAGTGATAGGATTGAAATATTAATGATGATTGGTATTGGCGATAAGATGCGAACTCAACAAGAGGTATGCCGATTATTCCATGAAATACCTCCAGATCGTGAACCTATTTCACAATCTACGGTAAGCAGAATAGAGCGAGAATAGATCGAGAATAGAGCGAGAATAGAGCGAAAATAGAGCGAGAAAAGAGCGAGAATAGAGCGAGAATAGAGCAAGAATAGAGCGAGAATAGAGCCAGAATAGAGCGAGAATAGAGCGAGAATAGAGCGAGCGAGAATAGAGCGAAAATACAGAGAATTAGGACATGTGAGAAATGCAGCAAAGTAAGGTAGACCAAAAATTAATGAAAATATTCAACAAGACATAATTTTGTCGGCAGTAAACAATCCACACTGTACAGTGCAAAGGAATTTTGGTATTAGAAAGTTTTCAGTATTAAACATTTTTAAAAAGGTAAAATACCATGCTTAAAAAGTACGTCTTATCCATGAATTGGCTGAAGAAGACTTTGACCGAAGAACTAAATTCTGCGAGTATATGATATACCAAAATAACAATTTCACTGATGTTTTATTTTCAGACGAGGCAACGTTTTATTTGAACGGTCATGTTAACTGGCAAAACACCCGTTATTGGTCTGATGAAAATCCACACTGGGTGCAAGAGTACCATACACAAAGACAACAAAAAACCAAAGTATGTGCTGGTATTCTGAGAAATACAATTGTTGGTTCATATTTTTTTGATGAAAATTTAACAGGAGCATTATATCTGGATTTCCTACAAAATACATTAACTCCTGATCTGATCCAGCTTTTTCCTCACATTCAAATACTTACTAATTTAGACCGCTTAATTTGGTTTCAACAGGATGGCGCACCGCCACATTTCGCAGTAACAGTGTCAATTTTTTAAACAAAACTTTTCCACAACGTTGGACAGGAAGAAGAGGACCAGTGGAATGGCCCTTTAGATCATCTGATCTGAGCCCATTAGACTTCTTTTTATAGGGTTATTTTAAATCTTAAGTCTACATAAACAGACCTGGGATATCTGTCAACTACAAGACCGAATTAGACAAGAAATACAGAACAACACTTGCTATGCTACAGAATGTTAGAGACGAAAGTAATGCCCTGTTCAGTAATTGTCTAACGATCAATGGTGAACAATTTATTGTAAATTTTCGTTTGTTTGTTTTTGGTAGTGTATCACATTAATTGCATAACTACGTAATTCCATTTAATTTGTTTATTACATTAAGTAACGTATAACTTTCCATAAATAATTTTCATAAAAAAAAATTGTATTTTTGCCCACCCTGTACCAATTTGAAGCAACGTGTTACACATTTTTGGAATCAGCTCAGCAAGGGAGATCCGGGTTCCATTTAAAAAAAAATGGTGATGACGTCAGCATACGAAGGTGGTTCATCCTGTATATTAGTTATAATTTGAAAAAATAGTAAAATAAAATCAAAAATCAACCTGTTTCTGGAATTTCTAATATTATTGTTTATTTGGCTAATAATGAATTTATGCGTTACTTTATGGACGCACTGTATACTAGGCATATACTAGACTCCCAAATGCGGAGATCGTTTAATTAATATTGAGCATATTTTTTTAAATCTATATTTCCAAAAATTCATATTGTTACTTCTTATTTTCAATACAAATTTTTTCTTTGACTTTAACAAACCAATATTTTATTATATGGCTTTAGTTTCATCTGCTTTCTTATATCGGATTTTCAATGAACCTAAAATATAAAAAATGTAAGAAACTTGGTATATTTATACAAATTAAGTGTACAGAACTAATGGAACATTTTAAATTTTGTTGTGGATCGTAAAATTGTATTAAAAATAGTACATGGCATTCCACTAAAAAAAAAAAAACAAGAATTGTATAGACTATTTCAACTATTAGTAAATAAATACTCGTCTTGGAGTGAATGCGAACGCATTTTGAGTTTTTTTTAATTACGCTCGTGTTTACCATTAAAAATACTAAAAATAAAAACATATCATTATCGATCCTTTCTTTAGAGATATAATACAAAATAATTCATTTAAAAAATAATTAATGTTCTTTTATTTAGATGTTAAATGGGATTCGAATTAACCCCTAGACATAGAACTATCATTTTATATCCAAATAAGTGTAAATTCGAAAAAATTAAGTATTTTTGAACAGGTTTAAACACTGAAAAATATAATAGGTAGATAATTGTACTATATTTTTATTAAAAAAATGTTTTTCTTATAGTAAAACAAGTATTAAAAGTAATTTTAAAAAATTGACTTCAAAATCGTGTAGATGCCATCTTGATCAAATTTATATGGGACCACCCTTGAGGTACTCACTTACTAACAAAGAAAGATTCATAGAAATCGGACAAGGTGGTAAAGAATTACCGTTAAACATACATAGAAAGTTAAGCGTTTGAGGATTTTCTCATGGAACCCCTGAAGTACCTCTTTTCTAACCAAAAAATCATTAAAATCGGCTACCGTGTTAAAGAATTATCGCTGAACATACCTAAAAAAAATATTTCGACGAATTCAGAACCTCCTCCTTTTTTGAAGTCGGTTAATAAGAACTGGGGTGTGTTCAGAAATCTTGAGAGCGTAAAATTTTCAATCGTCCGGACAAAATTCGTCGAAACGTTTATTTTTATCTGATAAATACGAACGGTAAGTGCAAGTATTGTTAAATCAAGTTTTTGGTTATGTCTTTTCTGTTATCTGAGATTGTAGGAATTATCAAAAATTAGTAAATAGGTGTAACATCATTGACGTCCACATAGACTTTTTTATGTAAAAATTCAATTCATTATCTTTTTCTTGTGTCATAAAATTTTATGATTTTCTATAATGAAATTACCATCGTTTCCGACAACTAGACGCTAATTGATGGAATTAATTCTCTCATTCATGCTCATATTTAAATATTTTTTACTCAAAAAGTAAAAATAGGAAATTAAATACTGGATGGTTCTCTTAGGTTAATTGGGGTTATGACATACTGCGCAAGTCGAGTAAAAATTACCCAACTCAACACGGCGGGTAAAATTTCTTCATCCCGACGCGTTTTTCTTTTAAATAGGAACGGCTGGGGTAATTCGTCCAGATAAAACGTTCCATATTTAGGAACGCTTTTTTGAATTTAGACAACGTCCGGACGCATTTACCCTACATTTCTGAACGCACCCCTGTTTACACATATTTTAATATATAACATAGTTTTTTATTAAGAAAGCAAAACAAACATAATTCTATAAAAAAAAACAATACAAAATACTTTATTTTAATAAGGAACAAAATACTTAGGCACTTATCTTTTGGTAAGTTAGGTAATATACGGAAAGTAAATCTCATAGTATATCGTCAGGCAACTTCCACAAAGGGATTCGAGATCCTTATTCGTAATTCTGCATAATTCTACAACGTGAAAGATCTTCAAATAATCTTCAATGGTATTCAAACTCAACCGACTTAGGATGAAACGTCTAGTGATGAAACGTGAGAATGATCTTCAGTATTCAAACTTGAACTCGAACTCGAAACTGTCTAGCGATGAGACCAAAAACGTCTAAAGATGAATCCAAAACCGTCTAGATATAGCTATGAGCTAAAAAAGGGTTAAAAATACGTGAGCACTATCAAAGGACTAGTAGACCAGTGGACAGTTTAAAAGATGTAAGTGACGAATTATTTTTTATTTAGCTGTTCCTCTGGATCTTGGATGGTTTTCATTAAATTTTAAAGAAACCCGAACAAACCCAGTATTCCAAGTATACGTGGAGTAATAGTAGTAGTAGATATTGCCTAAAATATGGAGCTTACTGGCAAACACTTTAGTGTCCCGTTTTTAAGAAGCCTAAAGCAGAAGCAATGTCTTACACAATTATCAGCAGCATTTGGATAATCTTGTATTTCATGTTCTAGTGTTTTCGGTTGGTATGGTATGGATACTTTAGACGAGGAAGAGGAAGAAAATACAGAGGTTAAGCTTTGGTTTTCTAGAAAGCAGTATACTGAAGAGCAGCTGGTTTCCAGGATAGCAATAATTCATACCGTAAATTAGGACTGTGGGTTATGTAGCCTATTTTAATTCGATCTTTTCAGATATATTGTAGGTATTCTTGGATCACTGGATAGAGTACCTTGTCTACTTTGGACTTTTGTGGTAGACTACATAGATTAGAAAACAGCTCTCGAGTTTAGCTAATTGCTTTTGGTCTTTCTTCTCCAAGTGTAAGGAATCTCAGTCGTGGTAGACGTCTGCAGTACTTTGAGTCTTCGAGGTTCCTTCTCAGTCTAGTAAATCAGCCTTTTTATTGGCATGATGTCCTTTGTGGCCTGGTACTCAGGCTAAGATTAGCAAATAAATTCGCTCGATGTTTCTGTGTTTTATTTTTAAGATCACTCTGACAATATTGGCAATCCAGCTCTGGTATTGAAAATAGTTGCTTTATTGTTACAAATTAATCATTTCTGTTTTTAACATTATGTTCTTCATTTTGAGCAACTTTTGTGACTGTTTTTAGATC